CAAGACCTCATCTCTACAATAAATCAAAAAATCAGCCGGGCGTGGTAGCGCATGCCTGTAATTCTGGCTACTGGGAAGGCTGAGGCGGAAGGATCGCTGGAGCCCAGCAGGCGAGGCTGCAGTGGCCCGGAGCGGCCACTGCACTCCAGTCTGGGCGACCGAGTGAGACTCCAACTCAAAAAAAAAAAAAAAATTTAAAAGTCAAAGTTATAAACACACAGTGTTTTAAGAGTAAATTAAGTCTACAAGGCTAGTTGCACACACACACACACACACACACACACACACACACACACGCAGAACTCTTTTGTTATCAAAAACTTCCCTCACTCTGAGGCAACCAATCACTTTCAAAACTTTTTTTTTTGTAATTGACAAAATAAGATGCCACATACAATCAAAAATACTTTTTGATTATTTTGTTTTAAGTATTATCTATTAACTTCTCACTATTGAAGATGAAGATTGAGCTGTCTTATTCTACCTCTACCAATCTCTGCTGCTTCGTGTACTAATCCTTTTCATTCCCTAATATATATACTTTGCTTACATTAATATTCAGGATTTATATCACTATGACTATGTACAAGATAGTCATTGCTAAGTCATGCAATTTACTACAACTACTTTTTCATTCCTTGACTGCGATCTGTATTCTGTAGGGTTGGCTTTCCTTAACGTGTGCTTAGTTTTCTAAATACTTATAATTAATTCAACCTCTAAACTCTCTACCAGTTATCTAAGTCTTCTATCAAAATGTTCAGATGCTTTGGGTGTTCCACCAGTTTCATGAAAATATTGCTTCTGGAACTTTCTGCATTTCTCCAAGTATGGTTTTCATCCTAGGATGTTCTGGGGGTGCCTTCAATTCTCTTTTGTTTCTCTATCTCACGTCTTTCTCTTTCTTGATTTCTCCTCTCATTTTGATTAGACATAGCCTCTAATAGCTTCCCAGGAAAAGGTGCGGGGTAGATAGATTTGTGAAGCCTTGCAGTCTGAAACATTTTTTTACACTATTGTCACATTTCATTAACAGTTAACTGTTTGTGTAGATAAGATTTCTAGGTTGGAAGTCATTCCACTAGAACTACAAAGGCATTGCTCTTTCAGCTTTAGATGTTACTTTTGAGAAGTCAGAAGCCATTCTGGGCTCTTATATTTTGAAAATGATTCCCCTTCCTATCCAGTTTTTATAGAATTTTCTTTTGTTCTTCCAGAGTTCTGAAATGCCATGAAAATGTACCTTGGTATGAATTTATTTTCATCCATTATCCTAGGTGCTTTGTAAGTCCTTTAATCTAGGAAATCATTTCCTTTAATTCTAGAAAACATTTAGAAATGTGCTCTTTGATGATTTCTTCCTTTCTTTTATGCTTTCTGGAATTCCCATTATTGATCTTCAGACTGGCTTTTCTTTTTTCCCCCTAGTCCTCTCTTTTTTAAATTTCCATTTCCCCTTTCTTTTCTTTTTTCTCATCATTCTTTTTTCATATTTCATTTCTTCTATTTTTTCACTTCTTTTTCTTTTTGCTCTAATTTCTAGGATATATCTTTTCTTCTTACTCTTGAGATTCTTTTTCTTTTTTTTCATAATCAATATTTTTTATTATGGTTTTGTGGGGTACAGTTAAGGGTTAGGTGTACAATTACGTTTCATTCAGGCACCTTGTTGATAAGAGGTGTTTCCCCATCCCCAGACAGATATTTACTACTGTTAATCCCATCTCCCTCCCCTGCCCCATAGTTTCCCAGTACCGTCAGTCATTTTCTTATAGTATTACATTGGATGTTCAAGGTCCATTATATGAGTGAGAACTCTTGAGATTCTAATACCACATTTTTCATTTCTAAGAGCTCTTTAGTTGTTTGGATATTTCCTTTTCATTTTTCAAATAGTACCCTCATTTTATTTCATAGATGCAAAATCTTCTCTTACTTCTCCAAGGATGTTAAGGATAATTGTATTTGTCATTTTCTTCTCCCTTTATAGTTTATTTCACTCCCTTCACTTTGTTGTAGTCTCTTTTTTTATATATTGTGATTAAAAACACATAACATAAATTTGCTTTAACAACTTTTAAGCTTACAGTATTCAGTATTGTTAATTATATACACACTGTTGTACAAGAGATCTCTAGAACTTCTTCATCGTACACGACTGAAACTCCATACCTATGGAACAAAAACTCACCATTCCCTCTTCTTCCCAGTTCCTAGCAACTACCATTCTACCCTCTGTTACTTTGAGTTTGATTGCTCTAACTATTTTATACAAGCAGAATCATGCAGTATTTATCTTTTTTTGTGCTGGCTTATTTGCTTTTGCATGATGTCCTCAAAGTTTATCCATGTTAAAGCATCTGACAGAATTTCTTTCTTTTTAAAAACCGAATAACAGTCCATTGCATGTATACACCATGCTTTCTTTTCACTCCTCCATCGATGGTTTAGTCTCTTTCTTAATCAGTCATTTTTCAATAAATTATTTAAATATAGTAGAGGCTTTATAAATAGTAGAGGTTTTCCTTAGCTGTCCGGTAATCTTTAGTTTTCTGCTCCTGTTTAATAGTTCCTATTAGAACTTCTGGGAGGCCTCTCTGCAGGGAGATCTGACTGACCTGGTTCCTTGGGGAAGCCTCCAAAGGTCAGTACCTTTGCGCCTTTGCTCTTTAGCTACTTAGATTCCCCAGAGAAGAATCTCCTGGCTGGAGCCCAGTGGGGAAGCGGCTTGAAGGAGAAGTCTCAGTATTGGTCTACACCTGTTCATTCAACCCCTTGTTTTCAGCCTGCACTCCCAACCTCAAACTCTGTACTGATGACCCCCTAGCCTAGAGAATTGATATTATACTCTCTCTAGTGGATAAGCCTTGTGCCTATGAAGTGGAGAGTGGAGCAAAGGATCTGGGATCCAACTCTTTCTTGGACTCTCCATTATCCTGTTTATCACCCTATCTTCATTCCCACTTCCAAAGGTACTTACTTAGCCAATTTCTGAGCTATTTACAGGGAAGAGTCTGTTGTATAAATCTACTTGTCACACAACATTTTTCATTTCTAGGTTATTCTGACTTTCTGGGGTTTGCTAAATTACTTATTAATCATCCATATGTTTTCTAGCTTTCAAAATTTCATCATTGCTAAGTCCTCTCCCAATTCTTCTCCCAATTTATATCTTTAAAGGAATCTTTTTCTACTTTTTAAACTTATTTTAAAGATGTGGGGTACAATTCAGGGTTAGGTACACAAATGTTCATTATGCAGGTACCCTTGTTGATGAGGTGTGCCTCCTCCCCTGG